TTTAGATATTTCCTATGACCTTTGTGCACTGGGATTGTATAGTATGCATCCTTTAGGTCAACTGAGGCCATAAAGCAATTTTTTGTCATAAGATTTGTAATTGTTTGTAGTGTGTCCATTTTAAAATGGATATAGGTCACAGACTTGTTGAACTCTTTCAAGTTCAGAATGAGTCTGAATTGTCCATCTTTTTTCTGTCTGACAAAAATAGGAGAGATTATCTCCCCTGGTTCATGTGACGCTATTTCAATTACTTCCCTAGCAAGTAGTCTGTCGATTTCAGTATTTATAGCCAGTGTCTCAATGTGACTAAATTTTGGGTTAGGATTAACCCTACCTTGGTGTGGTAGTTCATCGAGGGGTATTGTAATACCTCTGATAGAGTTAAGTATTATTTTGTCTGAGGTCAGATTTTTCCATGCTGTAAACCTCTGAGCAGTCCTGCCTGCTTTGAAATCTATACATTTTTGTTCAAGATATTGGATCAAAAAGGAAAAATCGAAATAACTGCAACTTACATTCTCTTTAAGTGTTTGTATTTTCTCAGCTAAACTCACTTCCTTTGCTGGTTCTGGGACCCGTTGCCTCTCGTGCCGCGTCGCCTGCGATATGGTTTTTGGCCTCTCCATAAAAAAGGCCTCGTAGATGTATTTCTACCACGGTTGTCACCCGTGTATGAGTTATTAATATCCTCACGGCTGTAGGTGTGAGTATTGCGTCTACTCGTATTTGCTGTGCTAGTATTGCGAGCTGTTCTTGGCAACGTCAGTGTGCTTGCAATGCTGTTTATTTCCTTTGAGTCGCGAACCAGTTTCGCCAAATCATCGCCAAATAAGAATTTTGAGTTTGGCGGAACAGTTGCATGGCAAATTTTTTGAAATTCTGGTTTCAACGCTGGTTTAATCGACTCCTGTCGCATGGACATTACATCAGCATTCATATGCCCCAACATTGCAATGAGGTTCACTGCGATGCGAAGTAATGCCTCGCGGTCATTGCCTTTCTTGTTCTCGGTCAATGCCGAAGGTTGATTTTTGGCGCTTAAAGTTTCCGCCATTTGAAGCGTGGCAAAAACTGCTTTTTGGACATTTTGTTGCATTCTTGACAGTCTAAGATCTGTTTTCTTTTTGTGTTGGCTGATTTGAGACCAAATTTCTGGATTAATGCGGCTAACTCGCATAGCTTCACAGTTTAGCGGTTGTTTGTATTTCTCGTTTATTTCCTTGATTTTGTCAGGACTTAATTTTTCAGTCCAGCGATTAATAGCTATAGTTGCTAGTTTTTCCCCCACTGCGGACCCTAGACTTTTGTCTTCACTGAACTGTTGTTCCAGTTCTTGAAGCAAATCGTCGTCGGGTAAATCAGGGCTTTCGTCTTGTTGTTGCGCCGTATCGCTGTCATTCAGTAACTGCCTTACCTCGTCATCACTGGCCGTTACGCTAAGACTGTCCTCATTTTCATGAGCTGAGCGACGGCGTTTTGCCGTGTGTTCATCTCGCTCCGACTCAGAGGAGTATTGATCCTCTTGTTGTCGTTTTTTGGCCTTTGCAGTTTTCCCGCCAGAATCGACGTGCTGCCATATTTGGCCCAATATTGCAGCCATGTTGGCCATATTTTCGTTCATTGTGGCCAAAGTTTTAGCGAATTGTTCATTAGAAACATCGCTGTTCATGCTCTGTGAGCTTGTATGTTGCCCATTCAGGGCAGATTGTTCGTCCTGTGGACTAGCGTTGGGCTCATCGTCGTCAAAGGCTTCCTCTTGTTGACGATGGCTATGTTGTTCATCTCTTCCCGCATCCATATTTTGGTCGTTCTTACTTGTTTCGAACAAACCTGCTATAAATATGGAAAAAAGAGTCAAGGAATTGCAAATTATTGAAATTAGGGAGCGCTACTTACGGTTTGAGTGTGTCTCCCACTGAATATTTATATATTTTCTTCAGAGCTCTTCAGAACACGTTCGCCGGTCGACAAAGCAAACCATGCACTGACTGACAAGCAATGCGCATGCTTCTCATGGTACTCCGTAGTGACGTAGCTGATGATGAGATAGAATTACTTGTTTATTACTATTAGCATGACAAAATTGGATACGTACTTCTCAATGTCAATGGACCATTTGCATTATAGACTAAATTTTGATCTAGACAAAAATTTCATCACAGCATGAAAGAGCATCACAAAATTAGTAATATTCCAAAGTTTCGTTGCGAAATGTTGTAAAATGCGGATATATAGCCATGCGAAGTTTGCCGTTTTTCAGTCATTTTGTATTACGCACGGGAAATTGACAGCCCAATCGGGTGTTGGGGCATCAATTTCCCGTTTGTAATCTAAAATGACTGAAAATTGCAAATTTCGCAACGCTATATTTTCCGCATTTTACAACATTTCGCAACGAAACTTTGGAATATTACTAATTTTGTGATGCTCTTTCAAGCTGTGATGAAATATTTGTCTAGATCAAAATTTAGTCTATAATGCAAATGGTCCATTGTCAACATCATATGCTCTCGCCAAAGCCCAGTCCTGCCAGACTTTCAACCAAAATTTGGTGCTTTTGTTTGTATTTTCATTTAGTTCTTTTGTTCAAGCAAAATTTGGTGCTTTTGTTCGTATTTTCATCTAGTTCTTCCACGGCAATTTCATTTCACATTTGTGTTTGAAATACCTTTCCGCCATTTTGTTTGTTTTAGGAAAATCATTAATTGTACTGCAGTACAAGTAATGAAATAATTGTACTCCTTTCAACCAATCAGCATCAATTAATTTTGTCATGCTAATAATAAACAAAATTATCAATTTCCCAAACATGTATATGTTAGGTATGTTATTTTACGTAATATAACCTGGAATTTAATGTAAAATTTAACCTGCAGAGACGCTTCGAAAAAACGTTTTGAAATGTTCTTAAAAGGCTTAAAACTAAACTGCCTTTTAAGTTTTGTCTTTGAGTTTGAAATAAAATTATTTTAAATTCTCACATGCAAATAACTTTGCCTTCTTCTTTATTTAAAAATTTTCATTTAATAAAAAAGGGCAATCAATAAATATTTCAAATTATATTTTCATTATACGCAACGATCACTTTTTAAAAGCAATTATAAAGCAAACAATACATCAATAATTAAAACAAACTTATCATTAACGTTGGCGTCGTTGCTACCTTTTTTTAGCAAACCTCTTGGCTTTTTTATCTCAAAAAAGCTTTTGAAATTTACAAAAGTCTTGCAAAAAGGAAATATATTTGCAAGAAATGTTTTATGTTAGTTATTTTGCAGTCGTCATGCAATCGTTACAATGCAAATTTTAAATTTTCCCAATCAGTGTTCGCATAATTATATTCATGACAGTCCGCTATATTTTGCGATCAGTGAGGATGATCACCCACGAACGGTAAACGGTGAACCATAGCCATGCGACCACGATTATTGATGAAATTTAACATGAAGTCATCCTCGTTCCCAGGGCCTCTCAGTCTTGCGCGACCTTCATAGGCTCCGGGATACACGGAACCGGAAGTGCAAGAAAACTTGCAGTAGTTTCTAAAGCGCATGCTCTTGAATTGGGACGCTTTAGCACCCATAACAAGTTTAACAGAGAAGTATTAGTGATTTACGAAAAAAACGAAGTATTTGTGTTGACATATTTTGATAGAATAATTTTGATTTGCGAAAATTGCTCAACTTCTGGGAAATGGCATGCAGTTCTCTGAGAAGCCAATCAGATCCCTCCCTTTAGTCGTCTGACCCAGAGCCTATTTTTCAGCGAGTGATCGAGTGTATGAAAAATAGCCGTGCGGAATTAATACCCTCGGGCTTACGCCTGGAACCCCTCCTCAATAATCAACATCATATTTAATTTATAGTTACTACTGTTTACCAACCAGATAACAAAGGGAGGGAGGGAGGGAGGGCGGAAGGGAGAGAGGGAGGGAGGGAGGAAGGAAGGAAGGAAGGAAGGAAGGAAGGAAGGAAGGAAGGAAGGAAGGAAGGAAGGAAGGAAGGAAGGAAGGAAGGAAGGAAGGAAGGAAGGAAGTGCACAATTTCTAACACCACAGTGCGCTGTACATTCAAAATTAACGATCGAATGATCAGAAAGTAAGTAAATAATATTGCAGTGTTTTCAACACAGAACAACTTCACCAGATATAGATTTTATATTGCAGTAAAATTGAAACGTGTATATGACAATACGTGTTAATAAAGGTAATGAAGCATGCAGCCTGGTTTTATTCCCACACGTTGTGCACATTTATCGCCGAATATATGTAGCCTCTTCCACAGGCAGCTCTGTAATTTTGATATCAAAATTCATATGACTTTTAACTAAAATTTCATGCTACGAATGTATGAAATGCTACGACAAATTTTTCATAAGAAGAGGAATTTTACGTACGAAAAATGACCACACCATTTATACTCAATACAGTACTATAATATGTCCCGTAACCGCCACTTCGTGTTGTACATTATCGTCGTATTTCATAATACGTTTCTGGTTTGAAATATTTAGTTGCGGATATCAATTATATTTTTAATTGACTGAGGACGTTAATTTAAACTTACAAAGTTGTATGCGGACGAAACTAGCTAGGATGGTTAAAATAACTCATGATAATGGAGTAATATGGCCAGTGCCTCTTAAAAACCATGATAACCCCCCCCCCCCAAAAAAAAACCTAGCTGTATAGTCGTTATATGTCAACTCAAAGATGAAGTTTTGACATAACATTAAACTGAATGACGCATAATATTATATGAAAAAATCATTCACATTATTGCATGCTATATATTCATTGAATGCTGTGCAAATACTAATACGAAATGTGGAAACACAACCAAAACAAGATGACGCCAACAGCACCGCCTTCGACCGTGCACATGTTCACATGGTGCAAATCGACGGGCTACAAAGGAGAAATGGCCATTCAATTCGATAAAGCAGTTTTGTGAGGTAAACCATTAGTGGCCAAGAATTTCACAGAAAAATTTGTAGACCAAGGTCAGTTTCAAACACCAGAAATCGCTGGCCGCGAATGACTGTCAGAGAATATATTTCTTGGCAGTGAAATAAACATAAAACTAAACAGTCCAAAATTATTTTAATCACAAAAGCAAATTAAAATTTGATATATAGAAAGGGTTATCAGAAAAGAATTCGTGGATCAAAATTGGATTTGTAGGTCAAAACTATAGCATGGCCTACATTTATTTTATAACTTTTTAATGGACTTATGGAAGAGAAAGGGGAAAAAGCATGCATGATTATTATTTCGACAAATTGAACACATAGGCACAGGTGCGGATGTCTATTAATTTTCACCTTTTAAATTACTTGAAGTATATACTACATGTATGTAGTAAACCCGAATAGATATTTCCGGTAATTACGTCACGACTAACACTGTTTTCAACTTAGGACCACCTTAAATGCAATGGATTTTAAGGAGCGGAACATCCTTCTTCAACACATGCAAAAAAACGAATTTTGGATTTTGACTAACAAATGTGGAAATAAGCCTAAACACGAAAACGAGGCCTCGTTTTCGTTTTCGTTTAAGCTTATTTTCATAGTTAATAGTCACCTATCCCCTAACACTAACCCCTAACACCAACCCTAACCCCTAACCCTAACACTAATCTAACTTTTTTTAACTGTTTTTACTTTTGTTAACTTGTTTTAACTTTTTTGTGAATTTTACTTTTGAATATATTTAAATGTTCTTTCCTTTTACATGAATAGTCTAACTGAATTTGTAACTCTAGTAACCTTTGCGCTTAAATTTTAGTTCAGGTTTTGTTAGAATAATTTGATGCTAGTTAATATTAGTCCTTACCATATAGTAACGTTATTTATACTCTTACATGCATGCAGAAATGGGAAAAAAGTCTATGTGAAAAATTAAATAATGTTCAGAGCGAATGTGTGTATGTCGCAGTATGATCAGTGTTCCACATCAGATCGTCCTGATAGCGACTTGTCAGCAATCGTCTGAGGTCAATCCCATGTTCCCGGTTGCGTACTTCAGCAATTATTTTTATCTGAAGCATAAATAGGGACGAATTAATAAGAAGAAGGTTGACTTTGAAGGGAACAATTAAATTAAGGCGCTAATTTATTCAATTCATTTCACATTTCACGTTTCCGAACAACCAGTGCCAGCGTAGATAACGTGATGACTACAAACAGTAATCTTTATAGACAACTACCTGGAAATATAAACACTGAGAATTTCGACGTTTCAAGCGAAGGTCCTTTTTCAGGTAGTTGTATCTCCTATGAAGATTAGTTTCACTTTTGGTTTTATTTAGAAAACAGTTTTCTTTTATTTAGGCATATATGAATGCACGCATGTATCGCTACTCTTATATATACCATGCAATATATCATTACAGGTATTCTATAATATCTGAGAATTAAAGCTATAGTGACTGCTTATAATTCATTCAATGACAATGACAATGACAAAAATTTATTAGTACATGGTATTACTAGCTGTTCATCAATATATAAGCTTAGAGAAAATAATTAGACTTTATAATTATTTATGATACAAGCTGACTCATGCATGAAATATCATCATCATACAGCTCAACATTTGTTGTGATAATTTAATTGTTTTCCCTCAAAACTGCTGTTGTTCGTTCAAAGCTGGATTACCGTTAACCCTGGGTTAAAATTTAACCCGCTGCTTTGGTTTGGGTATATCTGCATTTGTTTATTTAAAAACTTTAGAAAATAAACTATAGAAAATTTCTACTGATGCAGACAAGATTTCTCTGCTATTGGGAAGTTTGCTTTGAATTTTTTAATTACCTGGCATTGAGCTAACCGGCTTTCGTATAGTAAGAGTTAATTATCGAGAACTAGGTTTCTTAGCGAGATACAACCCGAGGGGCGTGTCCCGAAGATGCTTTCTGAGGGCAACGCTCCCGAGGGATGTATCTCGCTAAGAAACCGACGTTCGAGGTAATTAACTGACTTACTTCAAATTTGTAAGGATTGAAAAACAATTAAATCTACTTTTTTGTTGAAAATACTTGCATTGAATTAAGAGAATAACGGTTGTTACCATGGGGTCCATATGAAAATGAGATTGAAACGTGAACTACCTATGTAGCGACGAAGAAAATGCTTCCAGGCAACCGGAATCAGATGAAAATTAGGCTTATGGAAAGAGAATTTTTGCAAGCAAATGACGAACCATTGGGATTTGCAGTGCTCAAACTAGACAGAGATAAACAAAGAGTTTTGAAACACGCGTATTGAGCGTATACCGAATATACTGTAGGCACAAGACCCATCACCATCTGGGCAGTTCGATCGTATTTGGAAAGAGTGGGCCGAAGGTAGAAGCGCTATAACGAACAATATTATGGGTTTGTCGAAGCAAAGATTCTAAATTTGTTTTCAATAGGGTTTTATTTGGGTAAGAATCTAAAAGCAAGTGGAGGGAATTTGATATCTTTATAGGGAAAAGGGGGGTTGATGAATATAATTCAATTGAATTGATTATTAAATATTCACGGGGTTTTATCTAAGTATATAAAACCTGATTTATGCGGGTTTTATATATATATAACCCGCAAAAATCCGGGTTTTATATAGATAAAACCCGGTGTATATTTAATCATCAATCCAATTCAATTCAATTCTATTTATCAACCCCGCTTTTCCCTGGGGAGATATCAAATCCCTCCCCTTGCTTTCAGATTCTTACCCAAATAAAACCCTATTGAGAACAATAGAAATCCACACAAATTTGAACTAATAGGCTATACAACCTGGCCAGGACTACAGACTACCTTTCAATTTGATTTTCTATAAAGATTTATCATACCTGAACGCTAAATATCCCTGATGTCATCCAAGCGCGTTCATGGTAAAAATCTTTTATGCTAAAATAATATTATAATACCGATATTAATTTATTTTGGTCAGATTATTCACATCACGTCATTCCTTAAATTTAATCAAACATCAGGCATTGATCTATGTTTACCCCACCTAAAAGCCACAACATCATTGTACCTCTGAATGGGTAATATGCATGCATCCTCAAGTGTTGCGACTGATGTAGTACCTTAATTCGTACCAAGAATTTACAGAAATCCCCACAAATCACCCAATACACCCCAATATATCCATACTCATAACGTGAAAAATTCAGTTTTAACGACAACGGGGCATAATACTGTAGGTATTCTTCGGGTTAATATTCCTCTGAAGGTAAAATTTAAATGGACTATTCTTACCTCACTCCAATCGACGATATCAGTTGCGCCAATTCAGCTATTCCACCTGGTCTGTCTTGAACATTGACAATGAAACGAATAAGTCGTCCTTCAGAAGATAACCCTCTTTCAATACAACGACCAAGTACGGTTGGATCAATGTTTCCTCCACACAAGGGAATTACAACTCTGAAAAGAGAAATGATTTCTTAACTAAAATTAAGTTTTGGATGAATAATACAAGATTTTAAACTAGGTGTTACTATCGCATGGTGCACGTTCCCAAAGTGTACGTTTATCATCTACTGACGAGAAAATAGTGTATAGGAATGTCAAATTTATCAATAGTGACATGAAAATTTTATTGTCCCATCTGAAATAATTTTCAAACTCCAAAGTACATTATTGTACTCCTTCGCCTTCTTCCCATGTGTTTTTATCCAACCGTGATCCGGTGATCGTCATCTATAGAAAACTGCATACGCATGCTTTACATTATTTACAGCATAAGTCATGGGAATTTTCAAACGATTTAATCGCTTATGTAAAGTCTGACGTAAATTTGTTTGCACTGCAGATCAAGAAAACGAGATTACCTCACCAAGGAAGAACGTAAACGAAAACTGCTAAAGAAGTTACTTTACTGTGTTGACAATTCTTTCAGATGGGACAATACAAAAATTTGTGACATGTCATCTAAATTTAATGTTATAAGAAACTAAGAGTCAAAAGGTAAGAGCACAAAACAATTATGTTTTGGCAGTTTCCACCTCCAGCTGAATTTACTTAGCTCATTCAAGGCTCGGAACTGGCACGTACGATTCGCGAAGAATATTGATATATAGAGAAAGAGCTCGAGAGAGTTATAAAGAGTGACATCGCGGCCATCTTACCTTTTTCCTTTCAATTCTGGAAGAAGACCAGCCAGAAGTGCAGCAAGACCTGACGCTCCAGCTCCTTCGACTATCGCTCTTTCATATTCCATCAATCTGAGCACTGCTATTCCAATGTAATTTTCACTATGGAAATAATAAAAAAGTTTGTAAAATTTTATTTTACAGTTTTCTTTGTTAATGACACTGCGAAATGTTTGTCAGATACCTCACAATTACTGTCTTGTCGACGTAGTTCTTAGCAATTTCGAAAGCATTTTTACCAACTTTCGGCACGCACAACCCTACAACAATGAACAGAAGAGAGATTATTTGCATGATTCGGCCGTTACTGATAAAGCGGTAACTTATGTCCATTGTGATTCCACGCTCAATCCGACATGGTAAAGACCAATATGATGAATGAAGTCTGCCATGTTGGTTCACAGGCGCGTTCGCTCGTGGAATATAATTATACTCTACAAGCATCATGACTCCAAAACTTTGAAATTTAAAATATGGAAAATAGATAAGGCTGAGCCTCTCCAAATGTAAAGGTTAGTTGCATTCATCATTCTTAATGGGCTATTCCAGCTATAGACTAAATTTTAATCTGGGCAAGAAGAACAAAATCCATCACAACAGCTAGAAAGAACATGTTAAAAGTAGCAAAATTGCAAAGTTTGGTTGCGAAATGTTGTAAAATGGGGAAAATATAGCCCTGCAAAATTTGCAAATTTTGTATTAATTATAATTTGTAAATGTGGTGCATTTTCCCGTGCGTAATACAAATTAATACAAAATTTTCAAATTTCGCAGGGCTATATTTTCCTCATTTTACAATATTTCGCCGCCAAACTTTGAAGCTCTACTAATTTAGCATGCTCTTTCTAGCTGTGGTAAAGGATTTTGTTCTTCTTGCCTAGATATATAAAAAATTAGTCTACAGCTGGAATTGACCATTCTCCGTGGGTGGTTTTAAAAACGTTGACATTTCAAAATTTGCCACGACAGCAAGCACCTTACCCCTCTATCCAGAAAAAAGAACACCAAAACGTTTGTTACGTATGCCGTGCAGACATTAAAATGTTCGTATATAGTACGCCTTTTTAGTTTTTTTGCAGTTGATCCTAATTTTCGCTGTTCTTACCATCCGCTAGTGTTAATGCGTGGTGAGCGTCGATTTTGACTGGTCTACCAGCATCTAAAGCTGCTTTGAAACTTGGGCACATTTCAGATTCAACTCCCTAAAATTAAATATTATTATATTAGAATTTCATTCACTGCACAAATATATATGATTTGATTTCATTTGGATCGACACAAAGTTGTCGACTTCAAATTCACGTACGCACCATAGCAGTTATGGGAGCAGCAGCAAATAATACCGTATCACCTAATTAGATTCTCCTAAACAACATCTGCCAGGACATATTTAAGCCTTTACCATTTTGACTTAAGATAAGATTAAGCCTTTACCATTTTGACTTAAGATGAGATTATCAGCAAACCAGTTTATTTGCCCGATATTCACTCGACACTAAAAATAATTGTCCGGCTGAGGTAAATTTTTCAGGCTACCTATATTCATGTTGATTTTCAGTCAAGGTAAGGTTAAGTTTATAAACTATTTCCTCATACAAATCACTCACAATGATTTGGCAACGTGGATATAAACTCTTTATTGCGACTGCAATTCCTGCTATCAATCCTCCGCCACCAACAGGAACGATAATTGCATCAACATCGTCAACTTGTTCAAGAATTTCCAGTCCAATTGTTCCTTGACCAGCCAGAATATGAGGATGATCATACCTTGAAAGATAACAACAAATTTAAAACAATAAAGTAGGAAAGTGCAGTTTTCCTGGAATTAGAATATCAAACCACACGAAGACGGGTCAGTCGCATCATCATGGAAGCGAAACATTATGGGTTTTTTTCCAAGAGTATCAATTACTTACCCATTCACATACATCAACCCATCTTCTCTTGCAAGTTTCACTGCAAAATCCTTAGCCTGATTTTTAAAAAAATTGACACGAATCATTTATGATTTCTATGTCCTTACTGTTCTTAGTTAAAGTTACTTTTATAATATTATTTAGCTCACATGCACAATCCTGGTATAGGGTATTTCTAGCTAGCTCAAACTTTTCATTTTCATGTAAAATGGCCTGGACTACCGTTACTATGTCAAAATAGATTTTACTACTGTGATATTATTATAGCTGTTCACTTGATCATGTAAATTACATTTTCTATTGCTTTGTTAATTGTGATATATCTTTATTTTGTCCAACTGTAGACACTGTAAATTAGCAATTTAGCTATTTAGCATGTAAAGTGATTTAAGTGGTGAATTGTATATATTGGGGGATGAGATTTAAATGTATAAGTATATAAGTATATTAGGGATGAGGTTTAAGTTTATTTTTTAAAAATTCTGGAAAATCCTAGTAAGAGCAAAATCCCGCAACAATCGACGTTGGAAAATATATGAAATTCTTTATTAACTTGTTAGAATTGAACATTTTGTATTCTACATCACGTTTTGAAAAATTGCTCATCCCGTTCAGCAGCTAACAAACAATCCCATATTTCGAAAACAAAATGTGAAAGAATTCCCCATTCCAAATATTCGAGTATAAACATGCGAGTGTTATATGTGTATATGTGCAAGTATAGGTGAGTACTTCAACTAACCTCAGCTAAATTGTGTCCTTTATTTAAAACCTTTGCTCCATAACCACGACATTTCATTTCTTTAACAATTGTACAATTCTCTGGCATTACTACTGTCACAGGAATATTCAATGCCTGACCATGATATGCTAAAGCAAGAGCATGGTTACCAGCTGATGCAGCAATTACTCCTTTTTCTTTTTGTTCCTATCATACAATTATGATGAGATGAAAAATGTAAATACGGATTAGAGGAGGATTTCGGATAATACAATCCTATTAAGGCAAGCCGTTAAAGTGCTACCAAGGAATGATGGACACTCAATAAGCTTTGTTCTATGGAACTCACCTCCGTTAGAAGAAGCAGCGTGTTCCTTGCGCCTCGTTCTTTAAAACTGCACAAAGAAATATATACCGTTGAAACATTTCTTGCATGCAACAGTGTTACAAAGAGTTTAGGTTACAAAATAAAATGATTCAGTTTTTGCGAAAGTGCAAAACTAAATCTTGAACTACCTTCCTGTCACATGTGCAAACTCTTTCTTAAAATGCAATTCCATGTCGTCAAGTTCTGGAATGCTTGTTTTCTAAAACAAGAAATATTGTTTAAAAGCTCCATCCTTCCCTTGTATAAAAGCATCGAAGTACTTGGCTAGATAGTAGGTAGAGTAACCAACATGCATGGTCGTACCTCACAGGGTGTCTTCACAATTCCTTTGCGGATTCTGAAAGCTGCTGCCGCGACATCTTCAAATGAAATGGCAAATGGATGATCTGACTCCCCAGTGATGCTTAGGTTTTGAAGGTGCTCCCTTGACAAAGAATCGAATTTGTAGTTTTAGGAGGCTCGTAGAATATATAGAACGTCGAATCTAATGCTGATATTATCTTTTGTCTGCTTTTAATGCTAAATTAATAAAGTTGAATAAAGTGTCTGTATTGATGCATGCATGCATCAATTCCGGTATATATTACGTCAGTCAAACTTTTTTCGAACTTGCAGAAGTTATATACGGTATATGGCATTTTGTTGATGCACAAGCGCAATAAAACTATATCATCAGTTGTACTATACAGTGTTTTTAATTACTAAAAGAGTAAGGAATACTGAGGCGTTTAATAGAATAGAACTGGAACCAATCAAAGACAAAGGTGGAAGAAAAACTTAACATTGCAAGAATCGAATTCCTATTGCAGGAGAGAACGGCACATGCAGAAACCACTGTGCCACCAACACCAACCTTTATTAAGGTTCTTTACAATTGAATTCTTGCTATGGTTTCTAGTGCATGCGATATTCTTCTTCTGATGCATGCGAACGAGTAGATACATGAATTATGAATGTTGTGAGTATATGTACATTTATAAAGTAACTCATCAACTCGTTAACATCCATCAGAAGAACAAAATCGCATCTCACGTACTGATAAATTTTTATTTAACGGAAACGCTGACGTGCTGACCAAAACACTGCGACATATTTGAGATTCTATTACATTCATTTCTCGAATGATGAAGCTATCTTACCTTAAACGCGCAGACAAAGCAACTGGTCGCTCCAGCATTTCCCCAACAGTTGGCGCGGCTCGTTCTGGTACTAACGAAGTATCCGAAACATTCGGAGTAGGTGGGTCGGAAGCCTCCATGTTTTTAGCACGCCTCGATGTCTTGGATCCCTTGCGTCTTAACTTGAATGGACTCTTGACAAATTCTGGCTCTGCAGATTCTCTAAAACGATCTGGCTCTGAAACAGTGTCTGAAAAACCGTAAAATCTTTCGTCTTTTTCTTTCTGTTGCAGAATATTAGGAGTTGATATCGACTTCTCTATTTCTTCAGGAAAGCTATTTTCTGGAGAAGTGTTTGTGATGACTGTCGAATAACGAAACATGCTCATTAAGAAGTCAATTAAACCTCGTAATTGTGACGTCACAGATAATTAGAAAGTGCGGGAACGCGCGCGCGATAACCAATTAGGACTAGAAAATTCATGCATACAGAAACCCTCGCCTTGCTAACAAACGCATTATATTTTCCAAATATAAAGTCCTTAAAGTAGTTGCCATGGTAACACGATAATTTTTTGAAGAATATTTTAAAAATTGAAACAACCCCTAAAAATATCGCTTTTAATTACAAAATTATCAATTTCCCAAACATATATATGTCAGGTAAGTTATAATACGTTATTATATACGTAATTTAAGCTTCAATTTAATGTAAAATTCAACCACAAATGCTTCGCAGAACTTTTAAAATGTTCTTAAAACGGAACTTGCCTTTTATCGATAAAGTCTGAGTCTGAAATAAAATTATCTCTAATTTTCGCATGCAAATAACATTGCTTTCCTCTTTATTTTAAAAATTTTAATGTAATAAATATATATAATTATATTTTTTTCATCATACGCAACGATCCGTTTTTAAAGTACTGTTTAAAACATGTGCAGCAGTGTTTTATCAGATATAAAGATCAGTACGAGGCGAAGCGGAGTATCTTTAGCCTTAGGTCTGATAAAACACGCGCTGCGAAAGTTTTAATTAAATTGCATAAAGAATGATCGATCGATCTAGTAAGTTCATTGGCGAAGTAATTTTCAAAAAATACGTTGTGTAAGTCGAGAAAATCAAAGATAAAGTTTATGTAACTCAAGGGAAATCGATATCTCTACGACTTATGAAGATACGACACGCTTATGATTTTTCTTTGTGCTTTCCTCATGGATTATTAATGAGTTTTTGAAGCAATTATACTGTAAAGCAAACAAAACATTAATATTTATAATATCATAGTTAACTCGGTTTCTTTTGTTTCAACAGGGACGTTTAATCACGTATTTCCCTCATTACCCATGCATACGCTTTTGTCTTCTAAATTTCCCAGGGAAATTTAGTTGAAAACAAAGGATTTCTTTGTCTTCTAATTTTCCCC